TTGTTTTACTTAACTAACGTTTAAATAACCATTATAACTTTTTCATTATCTGACTATCTAACAAATAATAATACTAGATTTTTTTTTTAGTATTTAATTTAATCTAATCTATATCTAATTAAAATAACCAAAAAATATAAAAAATAATTTTTAGCCTCAAACCAATCGATCATTATGAATCATCCTACAATATTTATACAAAGTTGTACAACATTGTTCAAGAGAATATTTACGAAAAGCGTGTAAATGATAGAAGACCACGTGTAAGAGAGAAAGGGAAAAATAAAGCTACAAAACGTTTGTTTCTCTCTTTTCGTGGGAGTGGATGACGTCACCCATTTTTTCCCTTCAGAATATTGGTCGTCATGGGTGGTAATTCACGGAAACGAGAATAACATCCATCGAGCAGTTTCGATCCAAAGATGTCTCACAGGCGGCAGGTTCACTAATTCATAGTCTGTTAGAACTCGACAAATTAGACAAATCTACACAGGATGTACTATTAGTATTGGAACTACACGTATATACTATACTCTATTTGTGTTAAAACTTTTTAGCATAAGTGCACTGTTTGCATTAAATCAATTGTATTTATAATTATAATCCAAGTTTATACGGTACTATTAATAATGGAATGTCTATGTGTGTACTACTGTGTTCTATTTGTATTAAAACTCCTATACAAAGTGTCTCATTTATCTTTGAAAATAATAATATTAATTATTATTTAATTTTAATTATTTTCAACTACGAATGTCACTAAATACATTATAACATTCCCTACAAGAATTCTAAACCGAAGTCTATATACAATGATTAAAACCTATCAAACAAATTGTATTTCTATCTTTTTCTTTTTTTTTATACTAAAAATTTAATATACGTATTACATATTAAATTTATAAAATATACCTATATTTTCAAAAAATTAATCACTTTAACAATATAGTAAAATGATAGTACATTGTAACCGGAAACTCTTGACAACCACTGCAGTTATTACTATTCGAGGCTTCCGGCTGTAAGCCATGTCCACAAGGAATTATATTCCAACGTTTCACCAGCATTGTAGCTAGCTCTTCGAGAGTTGAATTACATACTAATATTCATTACAAGATGCAATGGCAAAAAAGAAATACCTATATATATATATATTTCGTACAAAATGCTAGCAATGACCTTGAGAATTAAAAAAAATATATATATTTTTACATTGGATTCTAACCCATTAATTATGATCTATCTTTATAAAATATTAATTTTAATTCTCTAATGTTATATCAAGTAATAAAATGATTTTAGGATATTTTAATATGAAAATAAAGATTAACATTTCTTTAAACTTATTTTATATCTTTCATTCTTTTTTACTATATCATTCTCCTTGAATTTTAATGTATTGTTTCTATCTTACTCATAAGGTATAATTATTTCTCTCAGATAATTATTTGTTATGTAACTCTTATGTACATATACTATTATCTAACTAATTCCATTTTATTTCATATCATAAATACAAGCATAGAAATTCTTTTTACAAAATAAATGTCGAATCAATTTTATATAAGTTATATAATGAAAATTATATACATTATATATATATATATATATATATAATTTATATAATATAAGTTTATAATATAAATTATATAATGAAAATTAAAAATATACAATGTAAAAAAGGAATTATTAAGAATCTATTTAGATTTTAAGAAGACACCCTAATAAATCAATTTAAATTAAATCCTTTAGGAAGTAACACTTTATTCACAAATTCGATTCATTATTCAACAAAGCCGTGGAATTAACATCAGATTATAGAAATAAATATATTATTTGAGCAAATAGAATATCGATGATCGAATAGCAAACGTGTTGAAAGCAATCGAATCTCTCAATTATTTACATTATGTGACAAGTGTGATGGAATAAAAAAAAAATTAATAAGTTTATTACAAAAAATAAATATTTATATAATTGTTTTTATAGATTTCCCGATTATAATGGAATCGTTCATTCATGGTTGAAACTGTTCATTGGTATTCGATAATTATAGTGATCATATTGTGATTATAAATGGACAAGCGGATGAAGGAGTTAATAATAACTATTAAGTAAATTAATGGTGAAATCTAAATAACAAAATCAATTTTTCTAATCAAAATATCATATTTTATTAATGAAGAATAAATTATAAATATGACTTTGAGAATCTAAAAGGCAATTTTAAAAAAGGATTCTTCACGAAATTGTGCAATATCAATTGCTAATGAAAAAATAATTTTTTTTAAAGATATAATATAAATATTTGTAAAGAAATTAAAATAGTAAATAAATTTTGAAGGAGTTTAAAAAATATGTAACTTTAAGAAAGATTGTATGCGTAGATATACTTGTCAAATATAAATATTTGATGACGAAATCTTAACGACATCATATTCTATCATGTAAGAAACAATAATATTTATATCTATAATCTTTTGCGTAGTGGATATTATACTTTCATTAAAAAGTAATATAATTAATCTTGAATCTACATCAATCATCTGAGATTGATATAAATTATTATCAAGGTAAGAAATATAATATAAAATAATATAAGTAAATTTTTCAATTTCACTTTTTTTTGTTATTAAAAAAAAAAAAAGTTAGAATCATCTAATTCTATCTAATAATCAAACCACGATTAAAGAAAAGATATAAAAGATACAAAATACAAATATAAAATATTAATGAAAAATTATATTATTTGATTTTAATTTCATAATTTTGAATTTTGTTGACGATTGCTCGAAACAATTATAAAATTAATAAATTGTCAAGTGGCTAAAAGAAAGATGTACATATGACCTTGTATTATTTGACGTCATTCAACGTGGAACGCGTGACGGATCATAAATGCATTCTAATTTATTAACGAGTTGAACATGTCATTTTTTTAAAAGTTTACATTTATTTTTCCGAATTGCGAATCAGACATTCCCGAAGAATGATTCGAAATACAAATATATATTTTAATGATATCCCAATAAAGATTAAGTTTATTCGATATTATATATGTACCGAAATTGATTCTAAATAATACTTGTAATAAAGAATGATAAGAAAATAATTATAAAAATATATAATTTCACTTTTATGAATACAAAGTGAATCAATATATATTTAAGAAAACTGATGCAAAACTAAAAGATTGATCAACGTAATAATTTCAAAGCGACCGATATTTTATACATAAAGCAAAGTTTGGTGAAATAATTAATTAACACATTTCTTTATCAACTTAACCTATAATCTGTTTCCACGCGCACGACAATTCTCATTAAAATTTATTCGCTTTAAATTTTATTATTAAGAAATAAATCGTATATAAATTATATATGATAATACTATGTATCAATTAAAAAAAAAGAAAAGAATAGAAACAATTATCACTTACAGTACTAAAATGAAAAGATCTTCTTTATAAAAAGAATATATATTTTGACCAGCGTAGTGACTTCCTTCCAGTAGCCGATTAAAAAAAAGTGAAATGTAAATGGCAGCGTGAAAACACACAAGCTGTCATCACACAATTTAAAACTTACAATTATCACGGCACCAAAATAAAACGAAAAAAAAATCACAAAAATCATTATTATATGCACATTCATCCATTTTATACGCATCTCGATTTTTCTCATATGTTTGACTACACGCGCGAGTCTGAATTCGCGAGACTGCCATCTTAATTTCGCGCGAAAGGAAACAATGACGTCGTTGACCTGTTCTTGAATGGTAGAATAATAAATAGCGCGGGCTGACCGAACACGATACGATATGTTTTTCACGATGAAGAAATGGGTGTGACCGCGATCGATTAAATGGATCAATTATTAGTCAAACTATAATACGGTCCATGATGTAGCGAGATTATAAAATCAAAACTAGTCAAAATAGTCACTTTTCGAGAATAAAGGAGTCAATAGAAATACAAATATATGATTCGTATAAAGAAATAATAGAATTGATTTCTTGAAAATCAACGAAAATAAAAAATGGATATTCATTTAATAAATATTAAAAAAGTAATATAATTCTATTATGACTATCCACTATCCATATATATAATAGATAGCCATAAAAAAGCATATTTTTTTTATTGTATAGAAATTTAAATTAGAGTATACAATCCTAAAATGTATCTACAACCTAATGATATCAGACGGTACCGGTACTCACTGGTTTAATTTACATTCTCGCTATATCTTGGTCCCATACTACACACGAGGCAAAACAGCAACACGCGTGCCCCTGGCGTGCAATCCGCGTGTCATTCGAGCGTGCCTCCGGCCGCTCTCACCGCCGACCTCGACCGCCTGTCACTCGGACTTGGCCAATTGAACATATTTATAAAGAACGCAGAAACTTGTACGAGAGAAAGAATGCAGATCTATTTCATCGTAGTTAAAATCTTTCGGCGCACGGCTTCGGAATTACTCTAAGAATTCATGATTCAATGCCGTTAAACATTACGGCGGAGTAGTTTCCCAGACAGAATCGAGTTAAAATGAGTCGTAAAAAGACACATTCTTTTCACGCATACTCAATACTCCCACGAACAGATTATTTCGAAACGAAGGGACACGAGTAGGCAGCCAAGCAGACAGACTACGATGACGGCGGTGACTTTCGATGGGACGCCCAGAGTTCGTCGTCCGCGCAACACACGCGTATGTCAATGCGTGTAAAGACATGGATAGGTTCGGGAATTGTGCATGTATATAGAGGCGCGCGCACATTCACACGTAAACGGAGCATCACACGTAACGCGAATATATAGTATACACGAAGGGAAGCACGCAACCAAACGAGGGACACACGCGCGCGTATACGACGGCTGTAAATGCAACGATCGACTTTTCGCCGTTAGGAAGTCACTGAACGCGTACACGCGAAACACAATCCACGAAATCGTATCGAGATTTCATTCGGAATAACTGTGCTCTTTGAACACTCACCTGAATCGCCATACACATTGAATATGGAAGGTACGGTGGGGCGTTCGTTAGCGAAAACGCGACTCCGTAGGTGACAGAACACGCCGAATATTCACGTACGTCCGCACGCCAGAAAAGCTTGTGGACAACTGACGGAAATGGCGGAAGAAGGCCGCAAGGTGGCCTCAGTAGTTCTATAGTGCGATTGGTTGGCTGACTATGTGGCGCTACATTCAAATGTTTGATATATTATACGTTTGCTAATTTACCGCCTAACAATGGTACAAAAAATTATCTTGATTTCGTTTTCTTTTTTATCGACTCGTACATCTGAAATTTAATAATTGTTATTGATTAGTCAAAATTAATATCATTTTTTAATTGAGTATTAAGCAAATATATATTGATTTTATATACATCTTTTATAATTATAATAATTTTGAAAAAGTTATATATTTCATCAAATAGAAATCTAATTATAAAAAAATATTATTTATAAATTATTATATTATAATATTATATTATAATATTGTGCAACGTTTTATAAATAATTGCAAGCTATTTTTTGCAAGATTAATATGTCATTAAATAAAATAGTTTTGATTATTCTTATAAAATAATATTAATTTATACTTCTAAAAATAAATTTCTCTTGAATTATGTAAGTATTTGATATTTAAAAATGACATAAAAGAATAGAATAATTAATATACTGACACAAAATGAAGATACAATGTAAAACAATTTAAAAATATATTAAAAAATTTCATACTTGAAAAAATAATAAGTATTATTTTAACAGTTTTCAAAACATTTATTCATTGTAAATACATTGTTTGTGCCTTACTTCTGATAGAAGAAAAAAAAATGTTACGTTTCGACAATTGGAGAAAAAGACAATTTCTGATAATAATTAATTTTCCATTTATTATCGGTGTCTTTTCATCTTCTAGTGAAACGTAAAACGAAATTATTCGAATTCTATATATTCATGAACTATAGATATTTGTTCCATATCTAAGGAAGAGATTCTGTGATTGATATGAAAACAGAAGGTTTATTTTAAGAAAAAACAGTGTTTTTCAACCGCGCACGCACGATATATTCTTCTCTATATGTATCATAAGAGATTTAAAATTATATATTTATATATATAAATATATATATAAATATATATATATATATATATATATATATTTATATATATAATATTCGACGAAATGATAAATCATTTTTGACAATACGAGATTTTTCTTATATATCTAGTATTATTTTATATATATATTTATTTATTTTATATATATATATATATATATCTCTGTCTCTGCAAATTACGATCATTCTTCATCATTCATTGATTACCTTTTACCACTTGTACCATTATCAGAGCGTTCCTTATGAATTACTTGTTATTTTTTTTTTAATCTTTCTTTTTTTAAGGCAATATTACTTCAAGTGTTTTAACACTGTTTTCACAATAATGAAACCGGGACCACATTGAAATCATTTTTTCCATTATGATTAGCATATCAAAATGACAATTTTTGCTATATTTCTTTCTTATTTCTTTAAGATGGCCGAATACATTAGATTAATAGATTAAATAATTTTGCTTATTGCGCGGCTAAATTAAGCAACTTTTTTCCATGTGTGACGTCAAATATAATAATATAATAATAATAACAAAGTAATGTGAGTATTTGTGTGCATGTATGTAATGTACATATGTTTGTATATGTTCTATGAATTGGTATGGCATAAATTAACAAATACAAACTGCTGAAATCGGACTAAAATACTTTTAAAAGTCATTGACACTGTATCAATTAAATATTTTCACTACCTCGAGACCACTTTTTTCACAGTTGTAGATATATAATTCTTTTTTTCTACTTTCTTTCATAATATCTGGTACTCTGTTTCTGAATATAGTTTGATTGAGATCAATTGGCTGCTCAAGATTAGTTTTTTTACTAACATATATTATCAATTTTCCTCTTTTAATATCATTAGTGATTTTGATGAGAAAAAGTATTTTTTTTTATTTAATAACATGTTATTAAATATTAAAAAATATATAAAAAAAGTATAATTGCATATTTTCCTGCAAATAATTATATAATTTTATAAATCTACTTTTGAAGAGTTTGAAGATGATGAATGTAAAATTATTTATGAATATTATAAATATAAAAATGTTGTTTTATATTATAAAAATAAATAACAAGGAAAGGAAAAATATAAAGTATAAAAAAAAAATAATGTAATAAGTTAAACGAATTATATAATTTTTTAATAGCTTTCAGCAGCCAATTAATTCAAACATACTATAGCACTTTCTCTTTCCCATTCACCATCAAGCTCTCAGAAAAGATTCTATTCACCATAAAAACATCATATAACATTCAACAAAATCTTTTTTGGGAGCTTTACAATTTTCTATTCATCCACTGAGCGCGTTTAAAGTCATTCTTGATTAACATTTTCATTATCTTGAAATACAGTCGAATCTTTATAATTCAAGAACTTTATTTTTTTATTGATTGAATTGTTTTCTATTTATTTGGTACTGAAAAATTTCTGTAAACAATTAATTTATGTTTATAACTTGAACTTTTGTCAGCGGTATCTCCACAATCTAAAATAATTATATATCATTTATCAGTAATAGACAATTGTCTCGAATGATTGAAAATAAAAAACAATACTTACGAATTTTTCTTTCTTTACAATTGGAAAAATATTAATTCTTGTACAATGTTTTTGCATGTAAAATTTTTATCTATTTTGCTGGAAAACTTTAATAAGAAATCTTCATAATTTAAATGTTTAGTTCTAGCCTCGAAATTCGAGCTATCAAGATTCGATTGTAATTCGAAATCACATAGATATACCATTATATTTTATATATTCTTTATGAGCTTTTATAATTATTTTTAATTTCTGAAACCATAACATAATTCACGAAGATCCCCCTTCGTTCTTTCTTTTCTCAAGCAAATGTATATTGCTTTTTTTTTCTCTCTTATAATTTCAATTTTTACAAATCTTAACTAACTCGACTCACATTCGCGTATCACCATTCAACAATTGTTTGAAGAAAAAAAAAGGAAAAAGAGAAAAAAAATGATAAAAATACAAGAAACATCTTCGTATTGTTCTGCTTATACATTATGGTCCCTACAAAAAATACATTACATCTATAAGCAGTTTATATTATCGTTATAATAGATTTAATATCTATATACACAACATTCTTTTTTTTAATTTAATTCTTGATCGCTAGCGTTAGAACTTCCTACCTAATACTTAAAACACTTCCATCCTCTATGACTTCTATTTCTCTCTCTCATTGTTTAATTGTTTAATTTTCCTTTTAATAAAGTATATCATAGCTTGGGAATGTGTTACATACAGTAAATATAATAGTACCAATTAATCAATTAAAAGAAACATCTGTTACAAAATAAACATACACTATAAACTAATGATGAATATATTAGTGGAAGATAATAAAAAGCGCGACGATTATTATGATGATAATAATAATACTAATAATAATTATAACGACAATAGTATAATGTAACGAGATATAATAATTTCTGAGATGATAAATCAGATTCATAATAAAAATATCGAAATTAATTTTCAACTCCTTGCCTCATAATATTAAATTAAACTGAACTTATATTTAATTTAAATGTTAATTTTATATTTATATATTTAATTTAATTTAATTCCAAATTATATTTGATTATAAGTATAGTATTAACTCTTGAAAAAGTCCTATAATAATGTTGAAAAAAAATCTGAAACAAAATAGATATAATATAGGTTATGTTATTATTCTTTTTAAAAATTCATTTTAGTAATATTCAAAATATAATATTACTGAAGGTGCATGTTAAAGTAAAGAAAATAAACTAATTAAAATGACTATAAAATAATTAGTGTTTAAGATCTAAAATCATAAATAAGTATATAATGTTGTCAAAAATATATAGAATGTAAGTAACATGCGAAAATACCTAAAATTTTCAAAATAAGATAGTTATTGTAATATTTATAAAACAATACAAATCATTAATTAAGTTTCATTTATCATCACTTTAACTATGTTCATAAAAATGTAAATCTGCATACATATTTGCAGTCTAGTCATAAGTAATCTTTTGTTTTTTAATTTTTGAATAAATTATATAAGATTTTCAAGAAATCTCTATTTATTCTAACATAATATATTTTAGACTTATTTTGATATCTTAAGATAAAACCAATACAGTGAAAATAAATATCGTATAAAAATTATAATTTGGATACAAATATTAATTTTATAGAGTCGAAAGAACATGCATATTTTTTATAAGAATCTAGTAATCATAACAGACTTAATATTTCTAATTAATTAGTTTCTTTGAAAAATTTTTCAAAGAAATGATATGTTAATTATGACTAAACTTTAATATATAGTGTTTGAAAGAATAAGAAGGCAAGGAGTTAAACAATCAATCAAAAGAAAACAAAAAAGAAAAAATCTAAGAATACAAGATTCGTCATAAAAATAATATGCGAGAAAGGCTTTTGTAAAAATATTTAAGTAACACGATGGAAAAATTGTGCGGATCACGCGCTCATAATTGTTCGTTTCTTTCATAAATATTTTTGCCACAAATCGTATAAAACGACGCATTTTATTAGAAACAGAACATTATCGCATCGATAGCGATCACCGTAAAATTCTATTAAATCGTATATATTTATATATATATAATAATTATAATACACGTAATCATGTAGTTTCCTTTTCTCTCGATTGCTCATTATAAATCGTTTTAACTATTATAATTCTCTATGTACAATTGCAGTTATTTCGGTGGATGCAATCATTAATTTCTTCCTGTTAACAAATTCTTATTTATCATTCTCGATGAAACGTGTAAATTGAAGTGAATTTGATTTTACCTGTGTAACTTGTTCCTTTTCCTAACCTTTTTGTCTCTATATTTTTCTTCTGTTCCTTTTTTTTCTTATTCATTTTTTTTATTTCTTTCTATTCACAGCACTTTTTTCCTTTTTGTTTTGTATTTCTCATGTATACAAGAAATCCATTCGACAAACACCATCGTTCGATACAAAGATTTATATCACAAAGTAGGTATAGTTAATACGTAAATGCTTCGCAATAATTAATCGTTAGTTAGGAGAGAGATCATCACGGCCTCAAGAACATTTCGAACGATCGAATTCGCCAAATGGTTCAAACGATTGACAAACATCAAAATTGCCTCTAAAATATAATATATGTGTGTATGTATATATGTATAGGGATAGTGTAACTACACTTTGAAAAATTGACAGTGACGGGCCAAATAGCGTGCGAGATATATCGTACATAGGTAAGTATGTTTGCATTTAACGTAAATAAATGATGATATCAGCATAATAGTATTGATATTTTTTTGTCTTATTTTTTTTCTGAGATTGTGTAAAATTAACATTATATCTTTTATTATTTTCGTTTTTAATTTGAATTTTATAGAAGTATGTGTAAAACGGTTTCGTACCCGAAGCGATAGGAAAAGACAGTTTTAAATGATAGATTCGTGCAAACGGCATTGTTGCCCCTATAATAATATTGTTATTTATTAAAACGTTTTTCCGTAAAATCTTCTTAATTAATTTTTTTTCCTCTTGTATCATCATTTTTTAAAAGAAATTGAGCTTGAGATGATTTATTTTATATTCTTCTCTTTTTTTTTTTTTAATTTCTTAGGCTAAAATTTCGTTAATTTTGCACTGAGAGATATTCATTATTATTTATAGCTTTTTTTCGATTGTGTCAAAAGTGTCCTTAACACTCTATAAAATTTCTTTTCCTGAGTAAGTTTTATATACTTCTTTCTTTCTTTTTGTTTTTTTGCACTTATCTCTTTTTTTTTCTTTTGTTATATCGAAATTGAGTAAGAGATGCTTTCAGGTACAAAACAACAAGTAGACTTCTCCCTAACAACGAGTGAGCAAACTGTATTTAATAAGCCAGAACTTGTTCAAGACATATTTCAGTGTTATACAATTAATCCCAATTGACCAACCATTTTATTTGATTAATATTCGTTAACCGAAAATTTAGAAGTTTTTTGTTTTTTTTTTTCATTGCTTGGAAACATAATTCATTTTATATAATTCATTCTATAGAATATGATAAGAAGTAACGCATACGATATAAAAAATCGCACAAATGCGTCTTCTTTTTTATTTTTCTTTTTTTTTAAATTAATGCTAAGATTGTTTTTGAAAGCTCTTAAAATATTGCATTATCAATATAATAATATTTAGAAGAAAAAACATCAGAGATCAAAGTGCCGCCTTGTTAAAAGCGTGATTTTTTCTTGCATAAGAGAGTATTTTTTTTTTTTGCAAAAAAGAAAAAGAAAGGAATAAAACTATTGCAAAATGTTAAAATAATTTTATAAACAAGTCAACGCTATGGATTCTTCATCCATTTGTTATTTTTTTTTACATCACTAAGTTAAATTGACTACTTTTTTTTTATTTCTGAGAAAGCCTAATCACTAGTTATAAAATAAATCGCAGCTCTCAATCTGCAATTATAATGATATTCATTATAGATCATTAACTCTATCATTCAATTATCTTTAAATATATGTTTGTCTAGTCTTGTATTTCTTAAGGCAGGAATTTTTATATTTACAGTTTTGTCCTTGTTGGCCTTTCTTTCTTTTTTTTTCCTTTCTTTTTAACCACGCAAGGCTCGTTCCTAACGGCAAAAAAATCTCGTTTCAGACAAAGAAAATCTTTGAAATCAAGTTACAAGATGTCTGTCTGAAACGAGTCTAAATATTTTTTTTTCACCTATTACATTCCTATTATTGACATATATATCGCATCACCGTAAAAATGTACATTCTAGTGATATTAGTTCCTAAAAAATAGCCAAACAATCGAGACAAACCTGTGGCAAATTATTTCGCATCATAAACGATATTCTTCACGCAAATATAACCATTGTAAAAATATTTTTGACTCGCCTGTATGTAAGAATATATAATGTGTGCAAATGTATGTTATGTATCTGTGTAAAATTTACTTATATCTTCAACACAATTTAAATTTTACCCGACGATATACGAAACGATATAAGATAATTCTTTGTCTCTCGATTTTTTTAAAAAAGTATATTAGCACCATATATATATATATGTATACAGATTACCTTCTTTCTTTTATTTAAAGCCATTCATAACATTTCCCCCCATTTACTTTTTTTTTTAGGATTGCACAAATCAATAATGCACGTACATTGTACATATTATATCTCTTTCTCTATGTATATTGAATTACCTGTGACCTCAAAACAATTTGCCACAGACTCACATTATCACCTTTTTGATATAATTCAATTACATAGCCTCTAGTATGAGTTAAACATTAAACGTTCCGTATATGCTTATCTGATTTACTGGTGAACGGTTTCACTTCCGTATCCGGTTCTTCCATAGCAAGAGGCGCTTGCCTTGTATCGGGAACATCGACGTCCATTGCATTTTTCGAACGATGTCCTGTCTCTGTCGAATCTTGAATCTGATTCGATGAGCCAGTATCTTCTAAGTTCGTCGACTTCGTAGGCTCTGTGGGCGACGAAATTGACGATGGCGTGGGCAATTCAGAATTTGGAGAAGTGCCATCTCCTTCTCCTACGTTATGATTATGAGGTTTTTCTTCAAATACTGAAATGTGAAAATACATATTTTAAAATTCAATAATTATATAATAATAAAGACAATAGTTTAACGGGGGAAAAAAATATAAAATGAATATTAAATTATCTCACAATGTTTTTGGAAAGAAATCACATATATTCTTTCTTTATCCTCTTGATATTTTATTTAATTATCCATTGTATATATTTCTGAACTTACGTTTATCAAGGCTGATAATTGACCCTACAAATTCGTTGACAGTGAGAGATGGTGCATGGTCTTCCATTTGTCTTCTCCTCCTAACTAACCACCAGTCAATAAGGAACAATGCCAAAGCTAAAATCTTAATGCCAGCGCAAAGTCCAACATATCTGAAATATATTTTGGTAAACCAAAATACTTTCTTGCTTAATACCATTCCTAAAATTTAATTATTCGAAATTGTGTATTGATATTAAAGTTATACCTGTATCTAAATTGTTCAATGTCATAAAGTAAACATCTTCCACCTTTTTCTCCACAAGTGCTTTTCCAAAGTAAGCATGTAGAGTCAATTAAATTACCAAATAAAATAGGAGCAGGTATATAACCGAATAATCGAAAGATTACAAATTGCATGCCTAAAGCAAACGATCTTTCCTCTTCTGAAACTGACCTATGTGTATATAATTAAATTATACTTAATAATGTACTTAATTTAAAATAATAATACATAGGAAAGATAAAAATAAAACTTACCGTAACACTATCATTAATAGAGGCATTTGAGTGATGGCAACAATAAACGTCATAAAAAAAAGTAAAATTAAAAATGGAAATATAGTCCTACATGGCGAAGTGCACGGACCCGCAGTAGCTACTGGTACTACCGTCACCTCTGCAAATTCTGGTGCTGCCGGAGGTAACATTGTTAAATTTCCGTGTATACCTAAAACATAAATAAATCTAATATTATCAACAAGTATAATCATCTAATTCATACACATTGCTAAACAATGTACTTTAATTTATATTACTATATTCTTTTACAATTGTACACTTACATGCACAATTAGTGAAATTTGATTTGGAACTGAAGGCAGTGCAACCTGCATGACAAGGACTAAAATATGTGAGACCGTTGTTTCCACAGACTGGTTCCACATCTGTCATTCGGCATTCGCAACCGAAGTTACATGCGGCAGTGAGATTTACTTGAAAGGGTTCAGGGCCCTTTGTACTGCTGTTAAAATATGGTATAGTGGTCCCAGCCATTTTTACATTGTCACAACCGAGGAAAAAAAGAAGACCATAGCACACCAGGCATATCATGTTCGAGACGAGAACGAACTGAACCGCACCTTTCGGTCTTAATTCTAAACGTTTGAGCAAACATCCGCCAAAAAAGATTCCAATGCAGGCACCTGGTATCGCTATAGAGCCGGTGAATACACTAGCTTGACTCTTTCCTAGGCTGAACTGTGTCTCCAAATATTTTGGCAAGAAAACCACGAATCCAGAAACAATCACTAATTCCATGCAAGCTCCTAAACACGTTACTACATATACTGGATTACATACCAGTCTCCACATACTCCTAGGAATATCTGAAAATGAAAATTATATTTAAAAAACTTAATTTAAAGTTCAGATATTTTAAGTTAAAATTAAGTTTATTATTTCAAGTTTATTATTTATGTTCAAATTTACCTTTCACATCTTTTCCGTAACCACTATCATCAAGTTTTTCTTTTTTTGGTTCTTTGCATTGTTCTTTCTCTTTCTGCGACGACGATTTATTTTTTTCAATAATACGTATTTTTTCTTTCTCCCGTTGTAAAGTTTTTGGAAAACTGAAGAAAGGAATTGCCACTAAAATTAGGAGTAAGCCACAAAGTAAAAATCCACCCCACCACATGCCTACCCATCTGTGATCACCTGGATCTAGAAAAAAATTGATTTTATTTTATTTTCAAATAATACTTTATAATTTTTAATGGAACAAAATCTTATTGAATTTATTGAGTATACCTATACTGATAATTGTTCCAGAAAATGAATCCATATGAAATGATAAGAGATAAGCTCCAAGAAGAAAACCTAAAACTGGTCCAAAAGCTGCCATACTATACATGCAACCTAGAAAAAATAAAATAGAAATTATTTAATAAGTCATTTTAAATATTTTAAGGTCGCAGATTCTTACCAATATATAAAGAAGCACTTTCTGGTCGTACATGATCATCTATATATGTAGTACCAAGAGTAAATAAAGGAGAACCACCACAGCCTAATAATAACTGAGCAAGTACAAATAACATAACAGGACCAGCAGTAGATGGAGATCCTTGAATGCAATTATCACCTCTTAAATTGTTGTGTGGTGCTAAAGGTGGAGATGATAATCCAGATGAAAGGCGGCCTACAAGAAAAGAACGTTTTCAGTTTCTTCACCAAACAATTTTCCTCTCTTAAAACATTCATTGAATAATGAAACAATAAAATATTTTATAATCAATATTGAATGTTTTTTGAACTATTTTATTATAATATCATTCTTTTAAAAATATATGAAATCGAGAAGAATTCTATAGAAAATTCACCTATTATATTTATTTAAATATAAGCTGATAGCTGATGCTTTAAAGAAAATTATGAAAAAATAAATATATTTTATATTCTTCTAAAATATAAAATTTTATTTCTTGAAAACTTTGTTATGAAATATTGCACAAGTTGATAGAATCTATAATTTTGCATGCATTCCTCGTTTCACAATTCATTAAATATTTACCCAAGCCCATGTCTTGTTCGCGTAACGAAATTCCACGACAAATGTTGTCTGAGCTAGAGTTATTCACAGCCGTCATTAAATTGGGCTCGGCTGTGAAGTGTGGCACCATAAAGATCATCGATCCCAGTCCCATTATGACAGCGCCTAAAACAATAACGATAATAGTAAGTAAAAAAGAAGTGGAAACAATGAACAATATCTTTGTCAATCGTAATACTATTACAACATTATACCATAACAATATAATTTAAAATTAAATTAACTTCAAACAAGTTATTGTAATATTATAATATCCCCTAATATAATACAATATATCATTACAATATAGACAATTACAATATTCTGTTTCTAACAATAAAATCAAATACATTTTCCATTCACTCACCAATCGCTATCCAAACAGGTATATGTCTTCGGCTACCAAGATAGCTGACGAAGATGACAGTGATGACATTTCCAATTTCATAGGAGCTAGCAATGACGCCTGAAAGGCTGGACGGGATTTCAAACCTTTTCTCTATGGTCGTGATCACAGAATTTATGTAACCTGAACTAAGTGCTTGTTGCAATGTGACGAGAAACGATAGAAGGAACACAAACACCTGGAAAAATCATGGGATAACAAAAGGTAAATTCTTTAACGAACGTTAACGAGTTTAGAATACATAACTGGATTATAAGTGGATATTTTGATTGTGTTTTCTTTCGTATGTATGTTCGACCATTCTGAGAAGTGAAGCAATTCGTGTAACTATTGCGAAGTTTGGTGCCATGTTCTACTTATTTGTTCACACACATGGATTAAAAATACCGATGACAAATTTGAATATATTCCGCGATATATCTTTTCATATTATGAAAGTTTCTTCTTTTTTAGTATTTCACTGCGTTGAAACTTAAGTATACGTTTGCTGAACACGTCTCGTGAATATTTGATGCTACGTTTTTTTCATACTGCTTTTGACCATGTTTGATAAAAATATGATGTAGAATTATTTAATAATGTGTCGTATACGTGTTATCGAAGAATATTCTCTACATTAAACAAATATATTGTATTGGATAAAAATATCGATATTGTTATTCTACGTTAAAATCACAATTAAATATTGAAACTAAATAATGGAAAATAATTTTCTGTTTTATCGTATCAATATTTATTTTACATGTAAATGAAACAATATTTTACGAGATAAAAATTTCGATTTGACAAAGAATTTTCCGTGTACTTTAACAGAAATAATTCCCCCCCTCCCCCTCCCCGTTGGAACGAAACAAAAGGATCTTTTATCATGTTAAATTGAGAGATACGTGTTCCTGATATTATCGATTCTTTGATACATCCTTTATGTCGAATCGAACGATAAAGCCTGATTAGATAAGCAGAAACTTTATCGATTCCACCATTGTACCCTTGAGTGCATTTTAACTAACGAAGGTAAAACGCTGCATTAACGATGATGGGAACAGGATAAAACGTTTTGCTGATAATCAACGTGCCATATTTGATAAATCAAAAGTGAACAGATTCTCGATACAACGTATAAACGTGCTTTCATTCCAAATTACTTCGTTACCTTTTGTGTAAATTTTCATGTTCAGAAAGTATTGAAAAATATTTGATATTTGGAAGGAATTTTAAAAAAATTCCTTTACAAAAATCAGAAGCCTAATAAAAATCTTATTTTTTACAAAGTACAACAACAAATCATATGATTACACCAGAAGAAGAGCTAAATGATGAAATCAAACGATGACGTCTCCACGTTATGCTCCTTTGCTACGACTTACAATTAGAACCTTTCATGGAATGTCAGCATCGTTTCAATGTCGTATCCTTTCAAAATGATGACTCACGATACCAGGTTTGTAGTATATATCCGTATATACCATCCATAAGTCAGTGAACACATGAATATTCAGAATATTGAACGTTATGATTATACATTTGTATCGATTGTACTAATTAACTGTGCATAAAGTAAGAAAATACTATGTTTTCAATAATTTTAATATGAATCTACTTTCATTCGTGTAACATTATTTCATTAAATATGATATTCCTAGAAGGAGAAACTTCATTTTATATGAATATTCTAATCAATTATTTTCTAATAATTCTACAGATTAATGAAATTTATCATTATATATGCAACAAACTAATAAATAGATATTGGAATCACATAACAAATAATCATTAAAATGATAAATAATCCAAATGAATCTTGAATTAAGAAATTGAAAAAACTCTAGAAGTACTTTTATTTTTCCAAACTTCATAAGAAAAAGAAAATCCTTATTAAAAAAAAAAAGAACTTTGTGCATTATGTTAGAAACAAGACAAATTCACAAATTAATGTTGATATAAGCTTAATAAGCTTATATTTAAAATTAGCAAGAAATGTAGATATCTCATGAGATAATTCTATAAGCCAATTGTCAATTTCGACTGAAACGAATCTTTTAGATAAATCGCAATACAAGTATACGTCAGATCTGAAGCAAGAAGAAGATCTGAGAAAGCAGACACCGATTTTTACGAACCTTTATTCCGGCGAATCTTTGTATAAAGGCCGGCCTGCAGCTCAGGATTCCACAGTCCTTCGAATCCGGATTAAACGGTGGAGTTTGCGCTCTCTCCTTCTCCGTCCTGTGCCGCCAACAAGAAAAACGCTTTAAGAATCTTCTGCAAAACCTTTTGTAGGATATTTTGGTATTGAATGGAGGAACGAAGCGAGAAGCACGAATATGTGACTCGATTAATCCTTTAACCAGCGGACAAAGAGACTGTTTGGTATTATTCTTATTGAAATGGATATTTTGCAATTTTAAAATAATATTATAAAATATAAACGAATAAATTTATTGATTTATATATTGAGTGTAATATAATCTTGTTCGATTTTAGTTTTATTTCAATTTTATGAAAATTGAATTACGTTATTGTAAATTTATTTAATGTAATAAATATTATGATTAAAAATAGGAAGAATTTTATGACTACTGATAATGTACCTTTTATTACTGATTGATGAATGTTTCTGCCATTTTTTCCATAGTGAATAACATATTTTTTAAGTTTTCTTTTTTTTTTTTTTTGTAATATAATTATTTCACATCCTATGTTCCAGTAAATGAGAACAATAATTTTTAAAAGCTCAATTTTTCTTCCTTTTTCTATAATATATATATATATATATATGTCTCAATACTTTTAAGTTTTTTTAATTTTTTTAACTTTTCCAAGATTGATGATTTCTTAATCTAGATAAATATACTTTTCAATACAATGTCCTTCTAATTTGACCACCATTTTACCATAAACGTATTCAACTTCTACTTAAGCTAATTCAACGTTATTTTACATCTCAAAGTAGCGTTCATCTTGGATTTTACGGACTGCTAACTTCTCGAGAGTCTATACAGCCTACTTGGCGTCACTTCAATTCCTTATTTAAAATAAATTCTTCGTCCATCGCCAACGCGATGTTCTTAAAAGGAAATCCGGCTCATCTATATTTTCATCACAGAGCTCATCTCATGTAAAATTAGACCGTAGAAAATAACATTACAAGTGCCTCTAATGATAATTTTATTCTAATCGTGATACGGTTAAAGGATTAAAAGAAGACGATTCATTCGATGGAAATAGAATTGAAAGAAAATAGAGAGAGAGAGAAGAAAAAAAACAGATTGAAAGAAATGTTAATCGTAGCTTTTTGTGTTAATCATACATAATCTTTTCCTTTTTTTTTGTGCGTGTGTTAATTGTACGAACGATAATCGTGCCAAATTTACCTGTCCACCATGGAAGCACTGGGATTCCTGCTGTGACATTTGATGATAAAATCTCTGAAAAAGTGTAAAAAGAAGAAACAAGAAGCATGAATATCTCGTGCTGAATGATGCACTGTGATCGCGTGCATATGAGGACAGATTGTAGATATTAATTAGAAATGGATCAATCCTTTGGAGATCTAAGCATTGTACATTGACATTCAATTTTTTATTAACTGAATAAATTACAGATGTTACAAGAATCTAAGTTTTTATTTTTCCAAAGGATCAAACCATATTGAGAATTGAAGATTAGATATAAAGATATCGTATCACAGATTTTCATATTTCTTTATAACATATATATTGAAATAAAATTTATATTTCTTTTACAACAAATATTAATTTTGATACACAGAATTTCATTTATATCCATAATCTTCAATTATAATATTTTATGTACAAGTATAAAAAGAAAGACTAACTTTATTACAAGACTTATAAATTTAACTCTTAAACATTTAAAAATTAATTACGTCAATTCTTCCAACAAATTTTTAACGAAACGTTTATATCCCCACACCATTATTACACTTAACTTCACAAATATTAGACTGCCATCCCAAAAAATATTGCAAATACAATCGTGTGATAAAAAAATTTAATGAAGATTCCAGAAAAATACGATAGATCTGTATAAGGAAGAATTTTTGGGACAACTTGGGAAAGGAATCGTAACAGGATGTGATACGATAAATATAACAGTTATAAAAATATCTATTTTGCGAATAATGGTGCCATGGTCAACCCGATGCTTTCACTTTTCACGATTTCGAGGGTCACGCCTTACAATTTTACAACCACGGTCGTTTAGAAGCTATTTCTGTATGTAAATTCGCGGATGCAAAAAATTTCATAACAGGAAGAAACAACTATTTTCATGGCTCACTTCTTAATGTCTCGCTTTCTCTTTTTCGCGATAATTTGTCCTATTTAGTGTTACGCACGATTGTTACTTATATAACGCGTGATGGCAAGTGATGACAATATCTCTGATGCTGAACGCATCATTTGCAACGTTGAAAATATTTCGTGAAACGAGTAGGACATATAGCTGGAGACAAGAGACAATCTGTGAAAAGTTTTTCTTCAAATAGTAATAAATGTGGGTTTCGATTGTTTGCATCGATAATTCACGTAATATTGAATGATAAAAATGACGAACACATAAATTGTGCAATCTTCTCGTGAATCATTCTTACATATTATTTTATTCAAACGAAGTAGTATTATTCCGAGCTCAAGTCCGTCAAGTACGTCATTTTTCATTTCAAAACAGCTATGCTGCAATCGTTCGTTTTCCGTTTATAATTTATGTACTTTTTTTAGCATTAAAAACTTGTATAATTTTTACACGTTTATTTATCAGTTAAGACAGAGTCTTACTGAGCAATGATCTTCCAGGAATAAACACATTTATCGCGTAATTTACCTTGAAAATCTTATTATGAAATTTTTAATAAAATTGAAACCGCTATAACTCCGATAATAATGATTCCTGATCAACGGACGAGAGATCGTCAGAAGCGTGGGACTTTACCCTTTAAAACGCTTTTTCATTTATTCCGATACGACTTCCGGTTCCAAAGGTAATTTTCAATCATTTAAAAACTCGATTAAACTCGATTGAAATCGAGGGAAAATTCGAATCGCTATAATTCCGAAGATAATGACTTCCGGCCAATGAACGAAACATCGTCAGAAGCGTGGAACCTTCCCCTTTAAAACGCTCTTTTGTTTATCCCGATACGACTTCCGGTTCTCGAGATATCGTCGTGTAAAGGAAAGCCTAATTTTTACACGTTTATTCTCTCCATCCTTGTCGTTTACTCGGATCTCTCTCTCTCTCTCTCTCGCACTCCTCTCACTGACCTATCCCGAATTCCAGGCAAGCGAAAGACGCGATTCCTGAAAAAAACGTACGTATTTCCAAGAAAAAAATGTAGGTCACCAGATAGCGCCACCATTCATAATCTCTCTACCGTCTCAAGTACTTACAGACACTTTGAATCCTTATATCTCGGCAACCAATTGAGATATCGGTATAAAACAAAAAGAAGCTTCAACGGCATCGTTTTCTCTATTTCTTGAACAATGGTTCATTCGATTCGGATACAAAATTTACAATAGTTTCTTCTCACGTTTTTTTTCTACGAAGTTTTAGTCGAAGTTTTATTTATGAGTTTGCACCGATGATACGAAGTATAAGAGACATTATTTTCTATATGTTCAAATGAATATTTGAAATCCTTAATCTATCCACACTAATGGTAAAATGTTATCCCACGAATATTACGTTATATCAACATCCTGCACACATTCTTAGATAAGATTTACAGAAAAAAAGAAAAGAAAAGAAAAGAAAAATTCGCCTCGTGAATCCGCAATACTCACCTATGGTCCACGAGGCCAGAACTGGGATTTCTACTGTGACACCTGATGACGGTGTCATGAGTCAGTCTGCTACCGGTTGCTTGCAGTGGGTCTGTGGTCTCGTCGGTTCCCGTGGTCGCGCTCTCAGCGTACAGACCAGTCATAGCATACATGCTTTCGTTCCTTCGATGCCCAGCATGGTAATTGCTGCCAGATTCGGACCTGAAACGTAGTTACGTTTTTTACCATAATTTCAAAGTAATCCGTTAAGGTTTTGCACATGGCCTTCCAATCGAGTGGCACACAAATTTCAATCATTAATTGCCGTTCTATTCGAAAACATCGATCGAGGTTTCATGATAAATTGACGAAAATGATTCTTATTTAATTATCGATGATTCGATCCATCATTGAAATCCTGAACATCATCAACACAGGATGAGCGTATTGAAATCCTTTGATTATTCCTGAGATTAAACTTTAATTTGATGTGATGTAGAAATACGAGAGGAATAAATTGATCGATCATTTATTAGAGACAAGAATAATATTAGAGACAAGAATAATTAGAGACATCTAATTTGGAAAACTTCTGGTATTAAAAAAATATCATCTGTACCCTTTCCAAATTGTTAACAATCCATTATTAGTCTCGATTGTTTATCTGAGTATACTTTTGCGGCATAAACAACAATTTTCCATAGAAGAGGAAGGTTGTGCGCGCAATTCTCGTTATCGAACAAGAATAGAGAAGACAAACAGAATTCTGGAAGCCCCTGAACACCGTCAACCTGTACTTATCTAAACATTACACGTAGGCCCCCGACTCGAAGCATCGTATTATCCTCTAACGTAATAAGAATCTTCCCTTCTGTTATTCGAATTTTTTCGACCCCACCAGAGGGGATATCTCAGCGAAAATTGCATATCCATTCTCCCGATTTAAATATTAACTGCTGACAGAAGAGCTCAAGAAGATACATGATTATGCTCTGTCTGGTTACCTTGATACGACGAGGTTCTTCTTCTTTTTATTGTCCTTTTCTATTTTTAATGTAATTCTTTTCCAATTTTAATAATCGAGGGATGTTCTCTTTAACGATTCTCCAACGGAATGGAAATATAGAACGAGGATTGTAGATTCTAGAGTTGTAGTTAATTATTCTGCAATGATGCTATTTATTTCTCATCTCGATTCGAGGAAATTTTTACGATGTTGCAGAAAGTATTTTAGGGTAATATTTTAATAGCGTTTTTGGAGAGAATTGAGTGACGGGTGTTCAAGTTTCGATGGGAAAAGTAATGAAACCGATGATAAGCCGATAAGCAAAGTAATAAAAGTGATAATAAAGAAACAATAACGCTTTTCTCGGCGCTGGAGAAATTTAAATATTGATGGAAACGTTTTATCGTTTAAAACGGGTCCAACAAACTTGAAACTTCCATTTTAACCACTCTAAAGAAATAACTTTATAAACGATAATTGTTCAAAGAATTTAAATTGAATAACAATATTTTTCATTTAATTTTTTAATTTAACCAAATACAAATGTGCGTCGATAAAATTCTTATTAAGATTTTCAAATTGAAAATAAAAATTTGCAGAGAACAAAATTCCTATACCCCCACATTCTCTGATGTAAACAGTAAGATCCATTGCACAGACTCGTTTGAGAAAAGGAAAGATATTAGAAAAGAAGAGAGTGGAGAGGAAAAGGAATAAAGGGTCTCAGGTTTGAACAGAGGAGAGTAAAGGATGGTTTAAAAAGATCATTCTTTAAAACCCTTCATTGATTCCTTAAAGTAGTAGAAAAAATAGAAACAGTTTAATCTTACGTGGCTTAAGTCATTGCCCATATTCTTTAAAAAAGAAGGAAAAATATTAGAGAAAAGGAGATGAAAAGCAACGGAAAAAAGATTCTTCCCTAGGAGAGCGACAAAAAGGAAAAAGAGGAAGCTTCGAACAGTATGATATTTTGCGATACTTAAATACTTGCATAAAAGAAAGGAAAAATATTGAGAGAAAAGAGGAAAAAAGGAGAACGACAAAAAGAGGGGTTCGAGAAGGGGAAAAGCATGACATTTTGCGATACTTAAATATTTGCGTAAAAGAAGGAAAAATATTGAGAGAAAAGAGGAAAAAAGGAGAACGACAAAAAGAGGAGGCTTCGAAAAGCATGACATTTCGCGATACTTAAATACTTGCGTAAAAGAAAGAAAAAATATTGAGAGAAAAGAGGAAAAAAGGAGAACGACAAAAAGAGGAGTTCGAAAAGGGGAAAAGCATGACATTTT